GGAGTTTGATGTTCCTATTATCCCTGAACGGCGAAACAATAACATCAACCATGTCATGCTTAACGTCAGACACATCGTTACAATTAACAGACAAGTCACGATGACTTACTTTCCTGTTTGCATCCAAGACACTCTGTCCCTTCTTTGACCCAGGCATTGTTGAACTTGACCCAATTCCAAAATTGTTCCAGATATTGCTTGTTCAAAGAGGACTTGACCGGCACCAGGAGAGATGAACGGTGACCATGGAAAGTCGTGCCATCTGTACAAAATCTTTTATTACCTGAAGTTGTATTGTCAGAATCTGTCAGTCACGTCTCGTAAATAGTCAATGCCCAGCTCTTTTTACGCTGGGACTCACGCTGTTCTTCGAAGATTCTCAGAAACGCTTAGTATTCACGGACCATTATTATAACCATCATTATTTATCAGTGTTATTGTTTGCTGTTCGTTAACTGTATTCCCCCTCACTATCCAGGCGATCAGCCAAAACACCTGGGAATCTTTCACTTCGTGCTGCCAACCAAACCAACATACAGACGTATGGCGAACAGTCAATGATTTATACCTAGGATTACGCCGACTTTCACATGGATCTTCATAGCAGCTGACTTACATCACTCTATACTAGGTGCAGACTTCCTAAGTCATTTCAATCTGTTAGTTGATATCAGCAAGAAAAAACTGATTGACAACTGCACCCAACGCAAGATCCACGGTATTACATGTGATTACTCCGTTCATAGTATTTGCATAGAAAAGCCGGAGAGTGAAATGTTCTATACTTTAGAGCAACGATTTCCTAAAATCCTTAAACCGTCATACAACGTCGAAGATATACCTCATACAGTTACTCATAAGATCATCACAACAGGACAATCTGTGAGGGTACATCCACGACGGTTACCACCCGATAAACTAGCAGCAGCTAAGTCGGAATTCGAACATATGATGCAGCTAGGCATCATACGACCATCTAACAGCCCATGGTCTTCACCTTCGCATATGGTACCCAAAACTAATCACAACTGGCGACCATGTGGAGATTATCGCGCTTTGAATAATGCTACGGTCCCAGACCGTTATCCTATACCCCATCTCCACGACTTCTCCTTGACCTTACATGGAAAGACCACTTTTACTAAAGTTGACTTAGCCAGGGCATATCATCAAATACCAGTAGCTCCGGAAGACATTGCAAAAACAGCAATTATCACACCTTTTGGATTATTCGAATTCTTGAGAATGCCTTTCGGACTAAAGAATGCTGCTCAAACATTTCAGCGTTTTATGGACCAAGTTACCCAAGGTCTTGATTTCGTCTTTGTACATATCGACGATATCTTAATAGCCAGCTCACCGATGGAAGAACATATGGAACACATAAGCTTGTTATTTCAAAGGTTTGAACAATTTGGAGTTGTTATCAACCCAAAGAAATGTATTTTTGGTTCCCCTTCCATTGAATTCTTGGGACATCGAATAACTGCCGAAGGCATCAGCCCCACCGAAGATAAGATAAAAACTATTAAGAACTTTCCCGAACCAGATTCCTTAAAGAAACTTAGACGTTTTCTCGGGATGTTCAACTTCTACCGACGTTTTATTCTATCGTATGCCTCCATAGTTCAGCCACTGACCGACCTACTTAGATGCAATTCGAACAAATTTCAGTGGTCTGAAGAAGCGAAAGCAGCATTTAACAATGCAAAAGATGCCTTATCCAACGTTGTAATGCTATCTCACATCAACCCAGAAGCTTCACTCAGTCTATGTACAGATGCATCACAGGTAGCAGTGGGAGCAGTTTAACAACAAAAGTTCAATAATGACACCACTCCACTTGCTTTCTTCTCCAAGTAATTGTAACCTGCGCAAACTCATTAAAGCACTTTTGGCAGAGAACTGTTAGCCATCCACCTAGCAGTTAAACATTTCAGCTTCCTACTACAAGGTCGACATTTTACTATCTTAACCGACCATAAACCTCTTTGTTATGCTTTCACCACTTCGTTGGACAAACATTTTCCGAGAGAAGCCAGACAACTGGATTACATCTCACAATTCTCAACAGACATCCAGTTCATCAAAAGAAATTCCAATATCTTAGCCGATTCTTTGTCTCGATGTGACGTTAATCACCTTCTATCTTCGATAGATATTAGCTTAGACAATATAGCCAAGCTGCAGAAAAATGACGCCGAACTCCATACTTGTAGACGAAACTCCTCCCTACAGTTACAGGATGTACCTATTCCCCTGTCTGATACAACTATCGTCTGTGACGTTTCAAAGGGCGTTCATAGACCTTTTGTTCCACTTAGTTGTCGAAAACCTTTGTTTGAACATCTACATTCCTTGTCTCATCCTGGTATACGTGCTACAGTCAAGTTGATCAGCGAGCGTTTCGTTTGACCCAAGATGAACTCCGATATTTGGAAATGGGCCCGACAATGCTTGCAATGTCAAAGATCCGAGGTACATCATCATACCGTCACACCTCCAAAGCAGTTCAATTTACCGGATAGACGATTTCAACACGTGCATATGGATATTATTAGACCATTACCGCCATCCAGAGGGTTTACTCATATACTTACTGCTATTGATCGATTTACCCGATGGGCTTTTGCTTGTCCGCTCAACGACATATCTGTAGAAAATACCGCTTTGGTTTTCCCAGATCGTCGGGTGTCAAACTATGGAGTACCAACAACTATTACGACAGACCGAGGAGCTCAATTTCAATCAACCATGTTTCGACAGTTTACGAGACCCCTTGGAGTAAACCATATCTCCACTACAGCTTATCACCCTGCAGCGAATGGTCTGGTGGAACGTTTCCATCGACAACTGAAAAGCTCCCTAATGGCACAAGCTGACTCATCTAAGTGGAGTGAACACCTACCATTAGTTCTTCTCAGTATCCGATCAACTGTAAAAGAAGATTTGGGATGTACACCAGCTCAACTTGTGTATGGTACTACCCTCACATTGCCTGGTCAGTTAGTTCCGTCTAATGATTCAACTGAAGTAAATATCTCCGACTTCACCAACCGCCTTACCCAGCAAATGCTCCAGCTTCGACCAGTGGCCCCTCGCCAATCACTTCAGAAAGCTCACGTTAACAAGAATCTACTCACTTGCAAATTTGTATTTGTTCGCGTCGATGCCATTAGAAAAGGTTTACGACATCCACATGAAGGTCCTTTTCTAGTACTTAAACGCACCGATAAATACTTCACGCTGAACAAACATGGTAAACCGGAGACTGTTTCTATTGATCGTCTTAAACCAGCGTACACCGACAGCGAATATGAAACACTAGCAACGCCTGCACCAATAAACAATGAGAATGTCAATGCACCTCCAGCTCTCCCGCTCTTCACACTTCCCCCTGTACAGACACGCAGTGGACGGCAGATCTGTAAACCTGCCTGCTATGTTCATTTCATTGACTGACATAAACGTTAGCCTCATTTAGACATTCTTCTCATTACTATTGCTGTCGACATTCATTTCATTATAGCCATTAATATTTATTAGTATTATTGTTTGCTGTTCGTTAACTGTACTGCAAGCACACGCATTCACCAAGTGTATGTATATATCTATTTATATATGAATTTCACAAATGTTAACGAACATGTCATGGTTTATTATGTACGTAAATTTTTTATTTAAAATTATAACAAGTTTTGATTTTTTTAAATCCCTGAACCATGCTTGCATGTGCTAAACTTTATACGACACGGCTGCATTCCATACATCCTGATCTAACTTTGTATCCCTATTGTTGCTGTTGTTATTTTTTGTTATCCTTATTGTTGACATTATCCATTATTTATATTGCTTATATTCATGTAATCGTCCACGAGGACAGTACTGATGGTCCTCCGGACCTCTAAGAGGGGGAGCCCTGTGGAGTCCTCAAAAATAAACTTATCCAATTTTTACTACTATGTAAGAAATGAACATATTGCACATCACTTTGTTTCAACCAAAAACTCTGTACTTTGAACTTTACCTCGGGTTTTGAAAAAAATATATAGTTCTGACTCCGACTCTCCGTCTTCTCCACCGTCTCAACTGCCGCCGATCAATTTTAATCACCTGCTTTCAATCTCAAATTTTTGCAGGAGCACCGTAGTTTCTTCCTTCGTACTTTGGTTGACCTCCGGCAACGTCAACATTGGAGAATTAGTACTGGAGCAGTCTTCCCGCAGTGCCTCTGGAGTCTACTACGTTTATTGTGGATTTCGGATCTTTGTAAACCCAAGTAACGAAACTTTAATATATTCTTCCCGTAACTAAACTGATTTGGTATTTTATTTTCTATTTGAATTTGGGCAACTAAGCTAACAGAGTAAAAGGTCCACCACATATCACCTCTCTTCCTTCCCTCCATTAGCGCAAAATTTCATAATTCTCGCATTAATCTGACTCATTATGAGTACATTAAATATTATAATTTAGACTTAAACCAAAATCTTATGTTCTATTCTTATAAAGTTTCTAAGGGTTATTTTCCAATTTTTAATGTCATAAAACAGTGTTCAATTTGAGACCGCACATGTCTAATATGATCATTCCTGTACAAACGGTATGTGAATCATGTAAATGCCTAATTTATTTGAAATATATTATTATTTTGTTGGCGTTAGAATAAAAGATTCTCGAGTCGCCAATCGGGCGTTGATATGGCATATCCCCTGTTTGAAGTGGCGCCTCTGGCTTGACCTTGACGGCATTTGCTCGGTTTCGTTGATTCGATTTGGAGCTAGTCGTCCAGGCATACGCAAAAGACGCGATTTCGGTGCTTATTTTGCTTTTGTTGGATGAATTTATATGAAAATTGTTGTTCGATATTGTTCTTGAGCATTCAGTGATTGCTTGTGTGACAGGACGCTTAAATACATGGTTCATGCAATGATTTTTTGGCATACCAAGTAAGCATCGCTTACATTTCGACGACTGTCATTCGATAAACTTCTTTGCAGCTTGACGGAAACCTGTACTCGATCGCAAATTTCCATGTCACCTATTGTGCAGCAGCTATTACTGTTGCAGGAACCGAATAATATGGTCGATATCGAATTTGTGCATCCTTCTGCACTTTTGCGTGGTGTTTTGATAACTGAAAGTCAATGGAATGCGTAGATACAAGCGAAAATTAATGTTCCTAAATGGGCAGAAACTTCAATGTTTTACGATCACCTATAACTTTCGCTGTTTTCTGCCAAAGTTTTTAAATGCAACATTTTAGTCATTTGGTGGGTTTGAATACCATTCTCGTGATCAGGTACGTAAAGACATCTTGGGTATATGTCATTTCGCCCCATTATAGAGTTTGGTTTCATAAACTTCCGATTTTTGTTATTGTCCTGGCGCCATATTATATGCGTTTTTTCGAAGTTAATTCTCAAAATTATTGTAAAACCGCGTAGAAGTATTGTCCGACATCTCTTCAATCCATGGACCGAAGGTATGAAAGTGTTTGCTGTATCCATTTAGGGAGGGCTCGTCGATTTCTGCAAGTAAAGGCTACGCATCATGTTCCTAAATGCCTCCAGAAGCGAATGTAATCTTCAGAAGCTATTAATGGCAAGAACAGGAAACCCAGCTCCTCTATTGCGAAACGTCTTACAGAGACAGGATATAGAAATGACGTTGGTACATTTTTAGACCTATCTGTAAAACGTGTTTGGATCGCATCCTAAAGTTTGTGGAAGCCCAAGTGTGATTAAGAAGTTCAAACCGCCTTTGTGAGTTCCAAAATTATTCGTCATCACACGAAACCTTCTTTGTTAAACTTCGTTTTGATACCAGTCAGGGTAGATGTATTAATGCCTCTGATATTTGGTTTAGTGAGCTTCATTGTTATTTTGGCCTTTAATATGCGATTTTAATTCCACCCAAATTTATGTCTAACCCCCTAACTGTATTAATTTCATATGTATTCCCATGACAAGTCCATGCGTAAGCAGATTGTCCAAAAGAAGTTGCACAAGTACAACACTACACGATTCAGACAAATTACGTCTTATTACTTCGCCTAAATTTCCACTTGTGTCAAAAATAGTGACTGATGTAATCGCGCATTGGTATAAACTTCCATTAATTCTTACTGTGCTCTCGTTAATATTATATTGGTAGTTATATTCATGTATACATCCTGTGAACCATTGTTTTCTTTTTTAGGTAATCTGTAGTTCCAGTGACCTCGTGGGATTCGTTGCTAAAGAAAGCGGTTTTCAGTACCGTTGATTTTGTATTTTGTGTTGAATCACTAACAAATGTATTCTCTATACCCTAGATAAACATTCTACTTGTTAATAGTCACAACTAACTTCATAGAATGTTTTGAGCTACAGAGTTAGGGTCATGCGTTGTATTGGGTAATGAATTTAGAAAAAACGTCCGCCCCTGAGGTATATTGTCGTGAATACGGAGTACATTCTCATTCTCGTGATAAATCTGTTAGCAGTAATTATTATCAGTACCTATATTTCGTAAGGATGGTATATAACAAAACGTACTAATTCAGTAGTCAGAGGTTAGAACTATCGGTTAAAATCGAAACAGGTGCTCATGTAAGGGAAAATTGATTAATTGAAAGTTAAAACATCACGTAAGTGATATAGTTTATAGCATCGTTTACATGCGAATAGTTAAGGTTATTTATTTAGAAATGATGGTAACTTGTTGTTGGTTTAAGCGATCTTTTGTTTGATAGGAAATAGGTGGGACATTATAACTGAAAAACAGTATAACTGGACAAGCAACATCTACTGGCCATTATACACATATTTTGAAGTAAAACACAATCGGGCAGATTATCTCGAAGACAGGAGTAGAGCACTCTTCTGAAACTATTAGTTTAGTGAGTAACTAAATTTGTCTTTGAATTAAGACTGAAAGTAAACGGCATATTGGTAGGCTAAATGATTATCATTATTCGGTTTCGTCAGAATAAGTATCCGACTACTGTTTCACTCATCATTCTGTCCTTTGAATAACTTAGTAACATGGTGTTTACTTTCGGATCCAAATTACTAAGTTAAGGTTAATATCAGGAAGGAGGGTGGCGTTAGCTGATCAGTAGATATGGTGGGGGTCACTAAGGTGAATCGCCCCATTCTGCAGGAACAGCAATATACAAATTAAAGGCTCGAGATATTTCTGATTTTTATGAGGGCTTAGATCTTTATCTTGAAAAAGATAATAATGAACGCCTTGACAGATCATGCTTCTACCTTTAAATATATACCATTCGCTCAGCCTATTGTTGAGACGCGACCACGCGGGATCTGCACAGATTTATGGGGCATCTTATAAACTAACTTGCTGTCCGTTGTCTGATCTTTAAATACCACTTCACAATGTCTTATCTCATTCATTTTCCAATGACGTCTTTACTTGATCCTCATTATATCCCATTAAACCTAACATTTTACAGCTCTTTATGACTTATTATATTCCTACTCTCTGAAGGGTACGGTTGTACACTAAATGCACAAAAAGGTATAAAACAAAAACAACTGGCACAACTGAGGATAAATGTATTAAAACCAAAAGTGGACATCATGATAGTACGAGATATACGTGTAGCATTATACATTGCAAATGAACGTTGTCAGCCTAGGGAGTTTTCTTTATTAATGCATTTATTAATGATACTTGCACTTACCTATTTCATTACAATTGAATGATTCACCTCAGCACTTTTACTTTTCTAAAACAGCTTTCAATCCCTTGTAAACGTTGTACTTACCTCAATATTGTTGGTTATCGTATGCCGACAACCACGGGATGAAAACGAAACGAAGTCCATTTTCCCGCTCAACCTGGAGGACAATTGTACAATTCAATAACTATACAGCCTAGTTCAGACAATGTGTATTTATATATATATCAAATATTTAACTGTTGAAACATTATTAACTTGTAGACAATGTACGATTTGATATTATATCATACTTGATCGTGCCTGTAAAAATGGCATGCATTTTCATGTAAATTTATATGTTTATATGAGAATATACATTATTATTATTATTATCCCTAAGGGTTTCTTGATACAAAGATTAACTTGTCGCCAAAGTATGTAAACACGTTCATATCTAGAAAATACTTAGGTTTTTAGTTTTTTACTAACACAACACCGGGTGACTCACCAATTAGTCACAAAGTAAAATTAAATCTGTCAAAGACAGTCTGCTCCTGACTTCTAGATATCGTGAAGGAAGAACTATATTCAAAGGTTAATAGGATTAGACGCAAGATGTCAATTCGAAACTAGGTAACTACGTTTCGCAGCTGCAGAAGACACCACGTTACAATCTATTCCTGTAATCATGTCAATCAATGTGACATCAGTTAAGACTAGAGAAGGAACACAACTGGTGTTCACAAAATACATTTGTGTTCCTCAATATAATGTACATTCCGTAATTATAGGGAAACTAGGAAATGCACCAAGTCATCACATATTCGAACAATAATTGAGCGCACAGGGTAGGGTAGATTTAAAGGAATGCCCACGCGATATGGTTCAGGGCTCATTGAAGTGACACATGCCTACATCTGAAGGTGCGTGTGCAAGGTATCGCATTTCGTCTAGGTGACTCAATGGGTCGCCTCCATATTTAACAAATGCTCAGTCCATGAATTCTACTTGTACCTGTAAAACACAAAGAATACCCTGCTAGCATATGGTGCTGTATTACACTAGAGTCCCTCAGTTTACAGGTAAATCACACTTAATATCAGCATTACCGCTTTTAGTTGAAAAAGTCATTCGACTTTGTCACAGATGCTTTTGGCTGGATTCCTCGGTACCAAGTATTATTCCCTATGAGAGTGCATTGAAGAAACCCTGCAGGGTGATATTGCGGCTTCGCCGAAAATTGAATAGAAGCATTTCACTCATGCAAAATACAGTAAAGAATACACTATTAACTCACCACGCTCAGCCCTACATTACCCTATAAAATCTACTTGTTTGGAAATGAAACATGTACCTATATATTGTGTCATTAATTTCAGATAAACATTAATATCTAAATTTCATACGCCTTCTATCTCACTACTCCATGTAATAATAGTTTGATAGTTATTTACGAACGCAAGAACAAGTATTTCATGGGCCACGAGTAGCACTTGGTATTCCGCAGAGTTATGGGCACTTAGTGAAAGTATTTTGGAGAACTAATACAACAAGGATAGTTTTTTTCTAATATATACGCACCTATCAACACAATGAAAAGATAATGACGAATTGTCATCACAAGCATTGTATTTACTATAGAGGGAATGTTATTACAGGCAAACTTCACAGTAACATATACAAGTCTTGCATGTCATTACATCAGTACTATTAGCACACTAATTGTATTACGGCCAAATGTAAATGATTTCAAGGCTTCATAACAATAACTTTGCGGGAGGTAGATGTATTGAAAGACTGCTTGCAGACACTATGTATGACGACATCTAGTAGAATGTCTACGGAGACTGACAACCTGCAATGAGGAAGACAAAAATGAAAGAATTAGGAGACACATAACGCACAAGATAAGTATTTTTGACATAAGTATAAAACTTGGGCACTGGTAGAGTATATCTCCATTATGGATACGATTTTATTTTGATAAATCACACAGCGTTGTACAGCAGTATTATCTGATGACGTTTCCAACACAAATTATTGTTCATAATCATATCATTGATATGATTATGAGCTACCGTTTGTGAGTTAACGAGTTGACTAAATAGTACACCACTTGCCCTACTGACAACCTTAATACCCTGCACAATACAACATAGTCGTCTTTGAGTAATTCAGGAAAGAATGAGAGGGAGCAGTAAAGACCAATGCAAGAGTTAACAAAATGTAAAAAGAGAGGTTGAATGATTCCTGGCTGTCTTGACTACACAACGTGGTAAGCTAGACCGAAGGTTTTCTTAGAAATCGACAAGATATAGAATGACCAAGAAAGACCAGAGGATAGAACTACTCCGAGGTACTTTATGTCAGACTTAGTTTCTGTTTAAGTACCCTCTTTGATACAAGCATTTTGTGAATGACACAGTTCTTGTAGTTCACGCTGAGTGAAGGGAAAGTTAACTGCCTGACATTCAGAGGAATTTAACGTAAGACCATGTACCTTAGACTACAGACATGAAGCAGTTAAGTTTGCTGCAGTCACATTGTAACATGACAGGAAAAGAGACGGTCAGACCACCAGTGTATTTGACGAAGTTGCCCTCATTAGAAAGAGAAAAGTCATGTAAAACGAGAGAGGAAAAAGAAAAGGAGAGATAACAATACCCTGAGGAACACCAGCTTCAGCAAGCGAGGCGGGAGATTTACCCTAATATACAGTATGCTGCATTCCATTTGAGAAATGATAATGCAACCAATCAACTGCCCAGGACCCGTGTTTGCACAACCGAAACCTTATTCAAATAAAGTCATCTAGGTCCTGAGTCAACAACAACGGCATATGAGGACTGAAAGCTTAACACAAAAGTGATAAAGCGCAAAAAACACTTGCAAAGTAGGAGACGGGTCCCAGGTGGAAGAAGAGATTACTGAAAGATATCTGTTTTTCATTTAGCAAAGAACTAGATTAAGAACTACACTTATCATTTGTTGAAATTTTGGAGGTCATTTATCAATGTTTCGCATTTATTTATGCCTAGACTGTGTCATTCTGACTAGCTTTCAGTATTAGTTTGCAGAGAAGTCCACTTGTTTAATTTACCACACTCCGTATAGCACACAAACGTACAGACTTAAAACTAAAGGGAAGTTTAACGAGAGAAAATACGAGGGAGAATAAATAGCGACAGGGAAAAACATGAGTTGAATTTTTTTTTTATTTCTGTAACAGAAACCAGCCATTTTTACAGGCATGAACATATGTACATTTATGAAAACTTATAGAATATATAATATGATTTGTTAATTTAGAAATAAGTTGAATACTGGTAAATGTGAGAGAAACATTTAAAATGAAGTGTACAAATAAGGAAATAGATATAGCGTCAAATCTAAACTGTGATTGAAAAAAAAAATACATGTCAATTTCACGCGGGAACCATAAATGGTTGCGTTAGTTGAGGAGAGTGAGGATATAGGCCGACATCAGGTGTTATCGCGCAATGCCATCGGTTACCGCGCTCACGTCAACAGACGTTATAATCACCTATTTTTTTGGAAATAGATTATATTTGACTAGTTTTAGACTTCTGTAGCCGGATGGCAGTATTTTGCTGTATTTTGTTCTTAGTAGAGCGTAAAATTGTATATTATAGCTCGGACGAATTATCAATGAAGAAGTCATCCTTTTTAAGAAAGTTCGCATAGAAAGACTATTATTTGCATTATAGTGCGTTGAGGGTTTGTTTTTTTTCGAGTTGTTTCAGATCTTAAGGTTGTAAATATACTGCAGTCAATGGCTGTTGTCATTCCAGTGAATCTATTAGAATCTGGCCTATGAAAGATAAATAGCATGCAGGCATAGGTTAGATGTGTGCTTTGAACATGTTAAACTTTTCTGTTATCATCCGGGATGACTGAAATATTCCGTAACACATTGACGACATTATGCGATGAATGAGACAGGCTGCTGAATTTCCTGTTGATTATATCTATTTTGATGAAGTTCCTAGTTAAAAGTGCTTGGGCGAAGATGTAAAAATAGTTTAATTGACATTTGCACATGGAATTTCACAAGGCCTTAATTGCTCAGTGCATGAAATGGCATCAGAGTATATTGACATCAGTGTTCATTGTGTCTGGAAGAATAGTATAAATAGTCCTTCTCAAATGTCAGAGTACTTAAAATTAGTACCAGATTTCTGTCGATTAGTAGCTAGCGGCTGTGTCGTACAACTACTACACCTGTTACATAGGTTATATCAATCTTAAAAATTATTTTGCTTCACATCACTAAGATATTGTGAGATCCTTAATGACTTCATTGTGGCTATGAAAGATGTAGAAGATGCACTTATGGCTCATATATTTAACGCAGTTATTATTAAATAAGTTATCTGTAAGCAACTTGTGATGTTCTGAATACTGCGAACTGTTGATAAGAAACTGCATCAAAGGAAAAAATGCTGAACAGCTAGAAAATACTACTGCAGTTTCGTTGGTTGTTACCTTTTGCATTTGTAAGTCATCCTTTCAAAGCTGCGATTGACGCCAAACCATCCATGGTATCCCACAGGCCCTATAGAAATTTGTGAGACATCTTACATGTCAGGTTGTCTTCCATATTATAAGGTTGCAGATCTTTCAATTTACCTCTCACTGAAGTATCACTTATCTACTTCACTATGGTCTTTTCATTTGTGCACTATTACACTGCATTTTATGTTAACTGGATATGCCTTTATGCTTACAGTCTATTTGCTTTTATTAGAAACACAACAACAGCAGTGTTGGAACAAAGCTGTATTTTCATAGAAAACATCATATTTTCTATCCTTACACCAATATGGTTGGCATTAAACATTGCAAATGTATACTCACATTCCAACGACATAGCACTTAGCCAAATGTACGGTGTTCATTGTTAAGGGTTTACAATTTAACTCTTACAATTTATGATACTTGACGATTGCAGTTTATAACATAACTTATTGCGCCT